CAATAAATTAACGCTGAAATTGATCCATTGCCTGCTAGGGTTTCGATTTTCCTCGCGGTACCTTTCAATTAGAGTGCTTAGCTTTGCTGACTTATCTGCAAAAAAGAATATGCTAATTATTGGGTATTAAAAAGACACTTCAAAAATCAAGCTTTTCACATTAGCTTTGGTATTCGTAAAAATGGAATTCATTAAAGTAATCCCCTCATTATGGAAATTTTGTTCTTCGCACCTTGTGGCAATCTTATCGCACTTAAGTACAGGTCTTACCCCAAAGAACTTGTTGAATTCAATGTGTTTTTGGGGCTTACAAACAAGATCAATGGTACTAACGGAATATTTCTAGTTTAAAAGTTAATATATGAATTGAAAGTAAATCCCTCTTACATCCTTTAAGAACACGAACCGATTGCAGTTGTTGCTATCAAGTTTTTGAAACTGTCTGTATAACAGAGTGACGTTATCTTAAATGGGGTTCTTAAGGTCTCACTTTATACTAAATATTTTAACCTTACTTAGCTTAGTCTTCATTACTTGCTTGTAACTTTTAGTACATCTGATAAAAGTTTTAGTAACTTATTACACCGAAAATCTAGGTGATACTTGGGATACAACACCCTTGGTATTTACTTTTATAATATTCAGCTCTTGTGATTTATGATGTGAGGGACAAACAACTCAAAACTCTGAAGTGCCCGTCATATATAAGAAAGTGAAATAGATTTACAGCGAACATCCACTGTCACACTGTGCTACTCGCGAGGTGTAAATACCGGGGATTATGCTGCTTCGAATGCTACTGGGCTCTGGGCAAACAGGAATCAGGGGCAACCACTTTCGTAACCCTTTTTCCCTGATCTTCTGCTGGAACAACTGCGCTAATATTTGCCAAACATTCAACGCTATCCGGGCGGTATATACACATGATATGAGTAAGTTGGGTCGCGCCGAGAATTCTTTATATTCTTTATTCGCCTCTGCCTCGAGGCAGTGTTTATCAAGTGTAACACGCTGTGTCTCTATATTTGTTTGCCAACACTCGGTGCCTGGCCAAAGTTGATTACAAATCCCGCTTTATGGCAAACAATCCGAGCTGTCCCCCTTGACTCCTGACACACAATAACTGAAAGAGATTTACGGTCGGTTGGGTCTCGCTCTATCTCGGTGTACCCGTAATTTCCAGTTACCAGATTTCACTTTTATTTATGCATTTTATTTAATTTTTTGTTGGCTTGTTTAAATAAATGGAAATAAATCTGCACGTCGGCCTCGTGGCATGGAGTTGATTTAAACCGTATAATGCGCATTTTCCTCGTGTTAAACAGACTTAATGTCTGTTTATAAGACCGGGGCAAGCTCTCTGGGCTTGGGTGTTGTCGCGCTATAAACTATATTAAACAAACTGATTTACTGCATTTTGATAACCCCTCAGTGGGTCGGACCGCTGCTGTCTCCGATTCATATTCGTCGTCTAGGAGCTGTCGTCGGTCCTCAGGTCCCGCGAACCCAAAATCTAATAGCTCGAGCACAACTGTGCAAAGTGTCAAGCAGCACCAGATGAAGAAGAACGCGTTTTATAATTGCCCTGGTAATTTATGAGCTGCTCTTAGTATATAAACAGGCGTATGCACGCTTACAGATTTATAGACTTTTATTACGGGAGAGTGTGCCTTTAATGATTTTGTTTACAAACGGGTCTTTGTTTTGCCTTAATTTATTTCACAAATTAATGCTGAGGCGCCAAAAACGAATTACGCAAATAAAAACTTTTAATTGATTTCACGACAGGTTGAGATGTGTAAACATTCAACCAACTTATTTATTTTATTTAACAAAAATAATATAGGTAATACTACTTTATATGTCTTGTTAAAATAGTGAAAAGTATACTAAATTGTCCTCGGACTTGTTTTGTTCTCTAAGTCACAAATTAAACTATATTTCGCAAATGAATTGTTCCCAAGTTGGACATATCGCTGTCAGCCTTTTCTTTTCTCTTGTCTAAAGATTAGCTATTTTGACAGTATTGTGTCAAAACATTTGCGCATACAAATTCTGCCACTAGAAGAATGAAGTAGGGGGTGACTTAAGCGATACGTAATCCAAGCACTCAACATTTGACGCAATCTGCAAAGTTTATTCACGTGTGACAAGGTTAATTTTATTCATAAATGAAACTGATAATGCTCGAATCTAGTGTGTACATATGAAATAGTATTCGTGATTAAAGTGACAGACAGCTGGATTGGCAGTCAAACAGTTGGTAAATGGAGATAAGGGCATACTTGTTGGGGGGAAGAACACGTTAAATGTTTTGAATGGGTCTAAGAAAATTTGATATAATTTGAGTATATTTAATACATGCAAGCGAGGTTTATACATACACAAAGTTAAGGCACTCTTAAATCTAAAGGCTTAAGAACTAAAGTTCCTAAATATTAACATTTATTGGGTAACAAACGGAACAGTACACAAAACCCATGCGCAGGAATGAAAGAGCACCACCTTCTGTTGGCTTTCAGTCATTAAGTCATTTACATATTTGCCAACAAAATGTCAGCCATAAAATATAAACTAAAGCAACTGTGTGAAGAGCAGAGCCCGCGCAAAGTCGAGACCCCGGCAAAAGCCGAGAAGATAAATGAAGGCGCAGCTGCTGCGGCTACATCAACGCTAATTGCTCTGTGCATCTTACAGATACTCGACGAGCAGACTTGGAGATATATACGAAATCATAATTCATATTTCTCCTTTTTGTTGTCGCATTTCGTGTCTTTGGCGGACTTGTGATCTGTGTGACGGGAACGGTGACGGTGACGGTGACGGGGACGGATAGCAACGAGCGACAGCAGAAATGTCAAAATGCATTAACATTTAATTGAGGCTAATTTAAGGCGAAATATTTCGCTTGGCATATATGAAAATTTATGCGTCTCATTTCGGTCAGATCTGCTCACGGCTCTTCGTCAGTTCTTTCGCTTTCATTCGCCTTCTTCAGTGTTTTTCTCTGTTTTTCTCAGTTTTTTTCTTGTTTTTCTGCCTGTCTGACGGAGCCGGATATGTTTGAGAAATGAGTGCATTTTGTAAAAATGTCACATCACATTTAATTTATGCACGCCAACGCTGAAAGCCACTTTGGTATCTGTATCGTTTGTGTGCCCTTTTGCAGCTCCTTGCACTGGAAGTGTGGCATGAAATTGTTTTGATGGCGATGATGATATTGCCTGTTTGTTTTCCATCTTAATGTTTTGTCTGCGAAATTGTTTTACATTCAAGCGGAAAGGAATGCTGTCGCGACTTTTACTTGCTTCTTGAGTGAAAGGGCTTTTTATCTATTTAGAGGGTTAAAAAATGTATTATAAATAAAACATTTATTTACTAAGTACTAAACACTCAATTTAATTCTAGCTTTAGTCTTTCAGAATTTTAAAATAAGACTTTAAAAATTGACAATATATTTTAATGGAAACCTTTAAAAAACAGCAAATAAGATAGATAGCTAAGGAGTAATTTTTATTGACTATATTACTTAGATTGCTTCTAAGAAGAATATGATATAGTTGTTACCCTTTCAAAGGACATATAAATCTCATTTCGGTGCCAATCAATAGATAAATACGATATACATTTTGAATTCCGACTGAGAAATTAATCCCAATCTTGGAACTTGAGCCATCAATCATTCAGTCGGCTGAAGAACGTCCTCAACAAACTTTGCCCCGCCCAGTGACAAAATTTGACAGGCAAGTTGGCAGGAGGTCGTCTGCCCCTGCCGCCCTACTCGTCAAGTAAGTGAATGTGAATGTGAATGCGAATGAGGACTTGGGTCCTGACTTCGGACTTTGGACTTCAGACTTCGGACCACCAGCTGCCAGGATCGGGCTGCGGCTGTCAAGCTTTTTAAACCCAAAACGTTGTGGACGAATTGATTTTGCTCCTCTCAGCAGGACTCTTAGCCAACTGACACAGGCAGGCGGTCCGTTTAGCAGTGATGCTCACACAGACAATTTCTAGCTATCTTCCAGACTAAACAAAATTGTGGCTAAGGCCAAAGGATTCCTTAAAAAAATTGAATGGGTAAGTTCCCTTTGTTTTTGTTAATTTTTATCAATAAACTTCTTGTAAAATTGGTTTAAACTATTGCCTTAAAGGAATGTTTTGTTATTACTGTAATGTAATATTTTAATGCTGTGTTTCTTTCAACTTATTATTTCATATTATATAACTAAATAGCTATATATAACTAGTATATAGTTCTTAATATTTTAAGCCTTTATATGTCAGCTTTTTAGATAATAACTCAGATTCAGACTCTCCATATTTCTAGTACTAAATATTTATATATTGTCATTAGGGGAAGGAATTTTTTCCTACCAAAACTAAATGTAATTTGTGGCTTATTCAAGGTAATCTACAATTGGCAGCACTGACAGCGAGGGCAGACAAAGCATCAACCACCTTGGAGTTGTCACTGATAGCAGCTGGAAGTGGAATTGGAACTGAGAGTGGAAGTAGAAGTAGAAGTGGAGCTGAAGCTGAAGCTGGGAGAAGTGACTACGCCCAGCAGCTAAACAAAGTTTGAATTGACTTTGTTAACTCGACTGGTGGGCTCAAGTGGTGGACACGTAGATACTCGTACTCACGCTCGTGCATGCCGTCTCTCTATGAGGCATGCTGTGAAATCTGCAAATTGCCGTGTCATTATTTGTTAGCATCAAACCGAAAGTCAGTCGGGATGATGTCGACGCCCCTTGGCCAGTCTTAACCCCAATCCCAAACCGAAGCCCAAGCCATCGTGCTCGGCGTCAAAAAGTGTAATTGGCAGCCCGACAGTCAGTCGATTCCTGTGGATCCGGACCTGGAATCGCAATCGGGGTGTAACCCACTGTCGGCTTACACACTCAAGTCAAGCGGACCCGGCTCTCTCTCTATCTGAACTGAAGCGAGCTGGAACCGGCAGACAGTTGGCAACTGTCAGTGGGCATGTTCGACCTGACAGCATAATATTACAAATCCCTGCCGAAAGCAGACAGTAACGATGACAGGGCGGCCGGCAACGCAGCGCAACGAGGCAAAAGGCAAAAAGGACAACCGCAGAGCAGGGCAAGGCAGCCAGGACAGGACAGACGGCTAAATATCCTATGAAAAGGCATATTTTATACCTCAGGTAAAATGTCAGACTAGGGGAAATCATTTTACCCCAAAATTGTTTGCGGTTAGCCAAAGAATGGGCAGCAATTGCCCTTTTTGGGGGGGAAAATTGAGCTGGCCAGGTCAGGGGTCTCAGCCTTGAATAAAATCACAAGAAAATTGGCATGATTATATTCCACATGACGGTTCAATCAATCAAACATTGATTTACCTTTAATAGCTTAAGTATAAAAGGGGTATTTTAAAATATTGAACAAATACAGAACAAAATTTTTGTATATTTTAATATCTTCCAAAGGATAAACAAGAAATACAACAGAACAAATCGTGTTTATATTATTCTTATTTGCGAATCCAATATGTCATATTTTCCTATGATGATCAACTATGAAAATTACAAAAACTTGTTACACAATCAAGTTTTTGCTGCTCATCATTTTAAATTCAATAGCCACCTTCAAGCTACCAACAGATCTGCCAATCAATTAACAGACAGATGAAGATTTACCCCGTTCGCCAACTTCCATTTCCCCAACACTCGGCCGGTAATCAATTAATGTTGTGTAGGGGAAATCACATAAATTTGCGTAACATTAAACGGATCGCGTCGTCGGCTTGAAACGGACGCATTCGATATGGTCACATTTCACAAATTTTACGAGGAGCCTTTCAAGTTGATAGAAACATTTACGAGGCACTCTGGCCGTGGTCAGATCTCCGTCTCCTTCTCCATCTCCAACTCCATCTCTTGATGGTCTTGGTCTGGTTCGCTTGGTAGCAATTGGTAAACAAGTTTATGACCAGTCTGCATCCCCAACTCCAGCTCCGCCGCACTGTTTCTCTCTTGATTCGCCGACATGGCTATAAATTTATTGCACTTCCTTTTGCATATAATTTTCAAATTAAGTGTTGCTTCATGTAAATTGATACATTTACTGAATGTATTTTCCTAGCTCTTGGCTGATAGTACATTTAGTTGGCTGTCGGGCTTTTAAGATTTTTAGCGGACGAGGTTGGGCTATAAAACGTTGTTTTCCAATGATTAATGTGGTTCTTAATATTTTCTATGGCTTAGTTGTGTGGAAAGTAGAAAATATAAGTGCAATAAATAGCTTAAACGGTATGCGATCAAAGTCGTGTTTAATTGAGTTTATATGAGTTTTAAAACTATAGCAATTAAAATGGTTCACGCTCTAAGGCTTGAAATTAAATTTTAATGTTCGTCATAAAAAAAAATAGTCTTATATCTTAGTCTTATTCCTAACTTTGCTTATTTAAATATTATATTTATTTATATATCTTTAACTTATATTTGCAATACCAAAACTGTAAGATCTCAAAAGTTCCCAACTATGCCCATCTCACCTTTTTATTTTTAGTCCTTCATGGCCTTCTTCGACCATTTCTCGGCCACTTGGGCGCTTCTTGCGCAACTCCGCTACTTTGCGTTCCTTTCGTTCAGCTGACAGTCACTTCCTGTCGGCGCCGAGCCCCTCGAACCCCTCTTTCGACCCCGCCCATGACGGCTCATTAGCATGTGTGCGTGGCTGGTCCTCCTTCTCCTTCTCCTTCGCCGTCCCTCGCTCCTTTGGCCTGTCATTAATTTCGCCAGCTCTCCCTGCTGCCCTCACTATCTCTCCTTGGGGCGTTTACAACTTGGCCAACTTGCAGTGTAACGCTTTGTATTGTTCACGCAAAATTTATTTCCGCTACGTCATGAACATCCTGCTGTCGTCGTTGTAGTTGGAGTTGTCCTCATCAACATCCTTGTTGTATTTGTTGTTAATTTACGTAATAAATACGCTTGAAAATGTTGCACGCACATGCAAAATGAATTACGTTGCTGAGGAGCAGCAGCAGCAGCAGCAACAGCAACAGCAGCAACATCAACTTAACTGTCACTTGTCACAGGGACGTTTCAGGGGCTTCCCTCTGGATGTCCTGGCAGTGCTGTCGTCTCTCACATGTCAACGGGCGTCGCTTTGCTTGGCATTTTTGTGATGTGAAATGAAGCAACGAGGTGACAGCAGCAGCAACTACAGCAGCAACAGCAGCAGCAGCAAAAGGGGAGTTGCTGCTCCTTGCAGCGGCAGCATAAAATGAATTACTCGCGTGAACAACAAAAACTGTCAGAAGACTGTCAGCTGTGTGGGCGACACGTGGGCGGGGCCCATGTCGCATTTGCAATCGCCCAGTGTTGCTGTTGTTGTGCGCCTTGGTGTTGCTGCTGTGTGCGGCGAGGTGTCAGCGCATCGCATTTGAAATCCTCGCATACTGAAAAACAGTTGACAGTCGGCAGTCAGAATAGCGACAAAGTATTGCTCCCGACAGTCAACGCCAGCGGCAGCAGCAGCAGCAGCAGCAGCAGCAGCAACAGCAACAGCAACATAAGCGACCCAGCAGCAACATGTTGCCATCGTTCGTGTCCATGGCCATGCATATGAAATGAGAGTGTGCGAAATCTTTTGTGGGTCCATGGCCCATGATTATCTTACCTCAAATTGCTTGTAGCAATCATGGAAAAAGCAACGTTGCGGTTGTCAAGCCCTCGACGTTCTCCCTCCCCTTTTAGTGGTGTTTTTTTTTTTTTTGTATCTTTTTCTTTTTTGGCCAAAGCAATTTTCATTTTCGCACTCCATTATAAAGTAATTTTTTTGCATTACTTATGCCTGTCAACGTCTGGCGCTTTTCGCCGCCTTTCTTCTTCCTGTTTCCGAGGCAACGCCCCACGACCATGTGGGTATCCTTCTTGTTGGCAAAGATTAATATGTTGCCGCTGTGCCGCTTCCTGTGCTCACTCGCTCGGTTTGCCAGTTTGCCAGCTTGCCAGTTGGCGTTTGCCCGCTCCACTCTGCTCCGCTCGCATGTGTGACAGTTTGCAAATGTGATTGACAACTGACACTGGCATATAAATTCAAAGCTTTCGCACACACTCAACCGTTGACAGTGTACACGGAGAGGACAGGAGCAACAACAGCAACAGCAGCAGCAGCAACAACAGCAAATGGCTCCTGCCTTGAAGGCATGACAAACTGACTGACTGAATGACGGACGTGCCGGGGGTCTGAACGGTCTGGCTGACTGACTGACTGATGGCCCGACTGTCTGCAATGCAGTTGGGTGTTGTCTCAACTGAGCTCAGTTAGAGGACTGGGAAAGTAATCGCAATTCATCTTATTTCCCTCGCAGATTGCTCAGGAAGAGATTAAGGGATACCTCTTGCTGGTTGTGCGAGAAAAGAAAGGCCATCTATTTAGGAAAACGATTCAAATTTGGAATGACTCTAAAAATAATTAGACTTTCAGCTTCAAAATGGTTTATTATGATTACAAAATAACCAGGAACTTGTGGCACACAAATTCTAAATTAAGATTCATTAAAAACAACGACTGCTAGACTTTGTAAAAATATATTTATTTTTCAACAATTTAGATGCTCTCACATTCAGTCTTTTTTAAATTTAAAAATTTTAAAGTGTTAGAATCCAATACTCACACAAATCACAATTAAAGTATTAAAAAGTCATCATCAAATACTTTCCCATTAATTGCAAGGGCAATTGACTACTATTTCGGAAACATTCAAACAAACAGCTTGGTCTCTCATAGGTAAGTACGATCATTAGGAGGGCCAGAAAACTCTGCCAACTCATTTCCCCGAAGCACTGGGCTCCATCTATATTTTGTTAGGTGCTTCCCGCTTCTTTCAATTACCCAGCCATGGCCTATAGAAACTAATTCCAATTATCATGACAACTTCCGTTTCTCAGCTCAAATTACTGCGGCCTAATTGCTATTTAGGGCTCCTTTCGGAACGTCGAGCCGCGTAATGTCCAATTATTCAAACAAGAGAGACGGAGCCCATAAATGCTGACACAACCGTCCGGCCGAGTCTGATAATAGACTCATCAAACTTCGGTCGCCATCATCGCCGCGCAGCAGGTAGTTCCTTCACAAGGAGGGTGAGTACACAGGGGAAAATTAAAAAATATTGTTCAGGTCATACAAAATCGGAATTGAACATAAAACTACAATTTGAGAACTACTGTAAGTGAAATGCCAAATTCCATGTATTTAATCAGTTTGAAACCCACTTTAAAATAATCATGAGGACGAGAAAACGAAATAAAAAAATTCTTGAAAGAATTCAAGTCAAGGTTAACAATGTAGGGTTCCAAAAAGACCAATATATAACATTATTAATTAGTTAATTATTTAACAATTATTAATTATAATTAATTATTAGTTATTTATTTATTAATTTTTCGTTTTTATGGAAATAAAAAATACCAAAATAATTATACGAACTCAAACACTAATACTGAGTTGAAAAATTCTGCACATCTATAAATATCATCGAAAATGCTATCCAACCAGGTGTTCATTTCTCTCGGTGTACCAGCGATGAGGCCCGAACCTGTCGCTCGTGCTGACGACAAATGTCTTCAGCGGAAGTGACACAACAAAAATCCCAGGCAACCGAAAAGGAACAAAAAATGCTTGATTATAAATGCCCGATGCCGCGAAGAAAATAAAACTAATAAATTGATGTTGATCTGGCGATGCTGGTGAGCTAGAGAGCTGGCGAGGCGATGCTACCGACTACCGACTACCGTCTCGAAGCAAAACAAACGCGCCATGACAATGACAAAATCAAGCGGCAGGGCTGACAATGATGGAAGTGACAACGACAATGGCGCTGAATGACAGGAGGATGTGATGGCACTGCAGAATGAGTGGGGCGTCGACAAGGGGGGCGATGGGATCTGGAGATCCAGGGCGGAAGGGGGGTGGTGTGGGGTGGTCGAATGTTGGTCGAGTCGAGCGGTGGCAGCTGTTCGCTAACTCGACACTCTTGGCGTGACTTGTCAACGGGCATCACTCGGCTGCCGTTGAGGTTGAGGTTACCGCTGATGCTGGAGCAAAGACGATCATCATTCATGACGATGATGATGCGGTCTGTGCCTTTTGTTTATCAAATTTCAATGAGATGGGACGTCTGCAATGAAGTGATGAAGGTAGCATATCACTACGAGCGACCCTTTGTGCTCAGCTTTTCTCTATTTCACTGGAACAAGTTTCCAGCTAAAAGAAATATATTCATTCGGTTAGAAACAAAATTCTAAAATGTTTGGTTAGCAACCTTTGGGCTCTATTAACAAACAATTAGGTTAAATAAGTTAAAACAAGTTTGGGGTGGCTAACATTTAATAAGTTATGAAAATATTATTTTTGAATAAAATAAAATGTATGGGTTCTATTAACATATAATAAAGTACTACCAATATTCTAAACTTTCAAAATATTCCATTTAAATCAAAGTCAATATATAATGGGTTTCTTGCCCTCAAAGAACACCTAAAATCTTGTTAATCATTAATAATATTTATTATGAGAATACCCAAACCAAAAATCCTTCCAATTCTGTTTTTTATAAAAAGGCGAAAAAGCTTTTTCGGGTGTCCCAATTACCCTCGATCTCTACGCTTGCGGTCAGGCTTGTTTAGTTTTTGCCATTCTGGTCACAGGAAGAAGACGGACAATTCTCCGTTTATCCGTCAGTCAGCCAGTCAGTCAGTCAGTCGGATCATCGATCCATCAGCCATTCAATCATTCACTCATTCACTCATTTCGACTGTTGTCACTCACTCGCACTCGAGTGGAAAAGGAAAGGGGCAGTGGCAGATGGGGCAAGAGAAGGGAACCACGTTGCACGATTCCGTGGTGCGCTTCAATGAAAACAAACTGATATTTGCCTGACACTTGAGATTGATTGTCATCCATCAAGGGAGCTGCTGCTGTCGTCTGGGTGAGTGATTGAATGGCAAGGATGCGCTGTTTGCATTTCGAATTTACATGCCTACCCAGTCCTCGTTTCATCTTGACTACAAACCTACCAACCGCTCCCTTCGATGACAGGCCCCTCAACATTTGGGCGTTGGCCTGAATTGATATTCAATTACGAGTGAGTCTGGCGTTTTATTTTTCCAAGCCCAGGAGGCAAGGCAATGGATCCGAAGGTTGTGGCTTTCACACTCGGTCCACAAGATGCTTGACCAACGTCTCCATTACCTGACAGCCTGGCCAAAAGTGATGGTCCTACGATCTTGTTTGTTTTGGCATGTGTTGGCCGGCAGACAGAGCCACAGAAAAGCTGCCAATTGCGATTGGCCTTCTTAAGAATCATGTGGTCAAGCAGCAGCTGTTAAGTTGCCATATGATATGCAACTTACACGAAAGATGCTCAAATAAGTCAAAGGGATAATTGGATTTCTCTTACGCTCGTGTTCTCTGTGCGCAATCTAGTCTCAATAAATATTTGTTATTAAAATCGAACATATTCCTTCAAATTGAATTTGGAACCCGTCTCAATTGCAATTGTAGTTCAATTTGTTTATATTAAAAAATTGTTTTTGTCGTGTATTCATTGTATGTCAACTTACACCAATTTATTTCCAATCAATAACAAACTGAAATTTCAATTATTTATCAAGGCGTTTAAATGTGGGCCGTGTAAATAAATTTAAAAATTTGTTACAGCATCTCAAAGTAAATTAACTGTAAAGTAAATTAAATTAATTAATTAATTAATTAATATTTTAACTTTTTGATATTAAATAAAACCACTTTTCATTCAAGGTTAATAAAATACAAAACATTTAAATATAATTTTAATAATTTATTTTTTTAAATCATTATATTAATATATAATTATATTTTATAAATTGTACATTGTAGAAAAACTCTTTTTTTTTGTTATTTTCATCTAAAAAGCACACCCAACTAAAATGCAGCCTTTCCTTATCCACTGCCACATTCAAAGACAGACGACAAATACAAATTTTTCATTTCGCTTTCCCCACAGAAACAGACGGCCATTTTCAAATCGTCCAAGTAGCGCATAAAGAAATTGAATTCATTAAACATTAGCTTCCTGACACGATCGTCGCCAAGCCTCCGGGCGAGGCCTCCGCCGGCAGAGACCTTAAAACATTTAGTGTCGCAATATGCAAATCCATAAATTATCTGCCCCAGACATTCGGGGATGAGGAGGGGGATGGGGACTCGGAGATACAGAGACACAGGCCTCCGTTGCCGGAGACAAGACATACACACGCGATAAAGAAATTCGATTAGGCATCAATTTTAAATGAGACGCATTCCCCTGCCTTCGATCCGTGGCAGGCCGCCTGCTGTGGATGCCACGTAACCCGATATGGTGACACTCGTCCATGTCGTCCATGTCGTTCACGTCGTCGTCGCGGTTGCAATCTAATTTATGACTTAATTATCGGGCCATATTTAATGTGTCCAATAAACTAGTCTACAAAATTATACCAACACGTCGTTGTTTAGGCATTGCCGCGATCTGCGATGCACTGAAAACGACGATCGAAGGAGATGATTGAAACGAGACATCCTGTTTAAAATAATTTCTCGGTAGAATTCAACAGTAGCGTTCTCAAGGTTAGTTTGAATCACATCTTATTAAATCTTGTAAATATTTTCATCTTGAGATGATTTATCTTAGTCATTTAAGTTCTTTTAATAGATAAGTTTTGTCAATGTCTATGTTAAAGAAAAAGTGTATCTCACTCCAGGCAATGAGTAATATGAACCCGTTACTATTATCAGACAAATATTTAGCAATATTTTTAGAAGTTATCTTTATTTTAATTTTAAATTCCTTTTATGAAATTTAAAAGACACCATTTCCAGTGTAAATATTTTCTTTACTAGTTAATTATTTAAGTAACAGCAAAGTTCAAGGTTTCGAGTTTGTTGATGTATGATAAATTGACTGCTGTAATTTTTTTCAGTGCGTTGGACTTGGCTAGCCTTTGCTTAATGCGTAATCGGAGCGCGGGGAACTTGAATTTCAGCAACTCAACTCGCCAACTGTCCATGGTGTGGCCTCCTTTAATACTGCGGCCATCAATTTGCTTTTAAATGCAACAATTTGGTTGCCATTGCGGCGGCACCACCGCCAGAGTCTCCGCACCAGCATCAGCACCACGTCATCGTCACCGCAGCATGCAGCATTATTTTTTTAAATACGTATTTTGTTTTTATTTTGGTGTAGATGTGGATGTGGAAGTGGACGGTCGGGCTTGGCTTGCTGGTTCGGCAATAAAAATTTCGTGAAGTGGCAATAAAATTCCATTTAAAATGGCAGCGATTATGTCTCAACAGACCATTAAAGTCACTCAAATGACAACTACTACTTAGGCACTCACAGCCAACACACCGCACCACTTTCAGCATCGCCTTGAACGCACAGCAGCATTTTTTTTATTTTATTTAATTTTTCTTTTTTTTTGCTCCTTCTGTGTTGATCGTGGCTCGCAGATCGCGACATTTGATGACGGGCGCCGGACTTGGAGGTTGAAATGTTGTCGCACAGTGGGGCACATTTTATTGCCTTGGGTGGTGTCGATCGGCCGGTGAAACACTTGCGTGGGCGTCCCCATCAATAAAGTGGTTTATCGGATATGGTTTTGGAAAGTTTTGCCCACCAAATTTGGGATCACTTTTAACAATGATACCTAAATTGAAGTGATCATTTCAACGATTTTGTTTGGTTTATTTTTAGAAGTAACTGTGACAAATGTGATTTACGGATTATTCGATTTCCGTCATAAATTCAGAACGGCTATGATATATGGAGGTCATGGATAGGCTTGCTTAACAGAATTAAATTCATTTTTAATATACGAATTATTTTTTAATGTTTTCAGCGGTACTTTTCCGCATTTCCTTTGCAAAATGGCACAATAAATTACCCCTTATTTGACTTTATGGCCCTTTTATGAATTTATTCTTAATGATTTCCTGATTTGTGAGCAACCCCAAGTCTGACTCTTGAAATTCAATTACCTTCAGAACCCAGTCGCCTCATCATGACTTTAAAACTCCAACCAAATTGCATTTTTCAGCCGTTTTTCTTGTGTGCTCAGCTGAAAAGTGGACGAAACTACCCCAGTGCAAATTTCCTGCTGACTTTGCATTTTATTATTTAATGGTAGTCGTACTCTGGTTGCCACCACTGCGCGTCCTGGACCTCAGTATGATATGCTCGTTTTAGCAAACGACTTTGGCTGCTTATGCCCGACTTCCTGGCCATTTTGGCACCGTGCACTTTTCGAGGCCATGACGTGTCTTCGTCGCCTCATGCATCGTTAAGATAAGCGAATATGCTCTCCAAAGTAGTTTTTTATAATTCCTGATGATAGGCATAAATTCCATAAATTCACATAAACTCATTTCTTTGGTCCGTGCTATGGGAACTGCTTACCGAGAGATGTGCCGCCAAGTGAAACTCGATACAAAAAGGATGTTTGCTCTTCCCTTCGAAATTCAATGCCAAAATTTGACTTTCAAGTGGTTCAAAACAAAAAAGTGCCAGAAATGCGAACCCATCCGGGTCCCATCCTCCAGACCCGACTCCAGTTGATCCTCATTAGTGGTCACATGTCAGCCTGACGCGCATTCGCTGTATAATTTTGTCATTCATCATTTTTCGCCCATTTCATTTTGTGCTACATGCCGAAGGACTCGCATTTCACGCTCATCCCTCCGCTGCCCCGCCGCATGGTTTCATCTCTTTCAGCGTCGGATGACATGTGACAACAATGTGGAACCGTTGTCATTGTCGCTGGTAGCTGTTCTGCCGTGACACCTCCCAGCAATCCCCTCCAGAAATTTCCGGGGGCGGTGGT